TTGGATGGGGTTACCTATAGTCTCCAATGTAGTTCCTTTTTATTTGGTTTAACCAAATTTATACTAAGGATCCTAAAAGGCAACCCCAAAAAGGAAGTACAACAGAGACTATAGGTAGGGTTCTATACTTGTTCGCAAGACCGACTCCGGGCTAAGCGATCCCCCCTCCTTTCCGAGCGTCGAGTGCATCTTCCCTTGTAGTCCATTTTCTATGGAATCGTCGTATATCAAAGAAGCTATTAGAATCACCAACGCCGTTTCATTGCAGCAAGGCAGACATCTTCGCAGAGCAAAAGGGCAGGTGTTTCTGCATGTGACATGTGTTTCTGCTTAACGTTAGGATGGTTCGTTTGTGACAACGAAGCTCGTTCGTCGCCCCTAATGTCCTTCTAAATTCTAATTTGTTCAACCCTAAACTCCCTAGTATAGTGGTCTTAATAATTAGAACAGGGTTTCGGGGGTTCCTTATTACAATTATAGTATAATGGGCCCCAAGACCCTATTCATCTCCATCAGTTTCAAGTCCCCTAAACCGTAAACCCTAAACCCTAAACCCTAAACCCAAAACCCAACCCAAAGGAGCCGAAGTCCCCTAAGCCTGAACCGAAGTTCCCGGCCTACAACTTCGGGGTGCGAAGGATCCCCTTGCACCCGGCTCGCGATCAGGAGCAGCTGGAGATCAAGCAAGTCTTGAACGAGGCCGAATGAGTTTCGTCTTGAGGGTCGGGAAGCGAAACCCAAATCTAAACGCAGAATCCCCCCCCTAAACTCATAAACCCTCAACCCTAAAGAAGCGAAACCCAAACTAAACGCCTACTCCCCTAAACTTATAAACCCGAACCCCTAAAAGAATCTCGCGTCCCAAACTCCGAAGCAGAGCCGAGAGCCTTGCATGGTGTTTTCATAGGCCAGGGTTGACAGGGCTCCGAAATCTAAGGCTGAACCCATGGGCCCTAACCCTGGGATCCTTATACATGTAGTATATACCCTATATGAACCCTGATGTAAGGGACCCTAGAACCCCCTAAGGGCCCAACATAGGGGCCCATACTTCAAGCGTTGTGCAGGATTCAGGGCTTAGGGGCTCGGGCATGATTTATTATTCTTTACAAAACTCTTTATTATTGGTTTTTACAAAATTCATGTATATTACTACCATTTATTATTGGAATATTAAACTTTAGAGTCTGAGGCTTCAGGTTCGGAGTGCTGCCTCTCACAAGATACCACCACTAGCATCTGGAGCCCTGCTGAAAGCTTCAGGCTTATGAAGTCAACATTGCTCCTAGCCTCTTCGCACTTCTTTAAGGCGTATGGTTTAGGGCTTTTGGTTTAGGGTTTTTGGTTTAGGGTTCAGGGTTTAGGGTTTTTGGTTAAGGGGTTTTTGTTTAGGTTTTAGGGCTCGTTCAGCTGTTCGAGCCGTTTCAAAGACGCAGTCGCCTGGCCGCGGTTACAGCCCGACGCGGCTGCCATGATGGTCATACAAGAAGACGACCCAAGCGGTTTCGGGTTTGGGGGTTTAGGGGTTAGGGCTTAGGGGTTCGCGCTGATAACGATAAACAGAGTGCAGAATAGAGTTTCAGCTCCATAGCTGGCTGGTACTTCAGCAGTGCTCGCCGGCGCCTGAGTCGACGAGTTGTTTTAGATATGTTACTCTTCACGGCTTCAGGTTTGGGTCCAAAAGTCCCTGACTCTTGGTTTATGAGATCTTGCACCTTATCGTTCGAAAGTGGGCCGTTAACCTTAGCCGCAAGAGTGAGATGAGATGCAGGTAGATGAGGACGGGACTGGCACCCTCAGCTGGTTCAAATTCACCTACGTGGCAACTTGGCCAGAGTCAGCATAGAGGTTTAAGAGCATAGAGCATAGAGGTTTAAGAGTGAAGGAAGGCCCAAAACCCGAACCCCTAAACCCTAAACCCCTAAACCCATAAACCCCTACATTCCCTAAACCCCTGAACCCCTAAACCGCTAACCCCTAAACCCCTAAACCCTAAACCCTAAACCCCTAAACCCCTAAACCCTAAACCCTAAACCCTAAACCCCTAAACCCTAAATTTCACTTATGGATTTCGACTCTGAGCCTGGGGGTGAGGCCTTTGGCTTCTTCAGGGCCTCTGAGTCTCAGGGGTTTCGGGCTTAGGGTTTGGGGTTTGGGGGTTTGGGGGTTTAGGGTTTAGGGGTTTAGGGTTTAGGGGTTTAGGGGTTTAGGGGGTTTAGGGGTATTTTAGGTTTAGGGGTTTAGGTTTAGGGGTTTAGGTTTAGGGGTTTAGGGGTTTCGGGTTTACATTGGGGTCTAAGGCCAGCGACGATGCTGTAGAGCGGTTGGCTGAGCTGGAGCTAAAGAGCTAGAGAACCCTAAACCCAAAACCCCTAAACACTATGCCTAAACCCCTAAACCCTAAACTTTAAGCCTCATTCCGCAAGCGCCTTCAAAGGGAGTTTCACACTGCACCCTCGGCCTTATAGCCTCCAGGCCCCAACCCTCCAAAGGGAGTTCAACTCTAAACGCTAGGTCTGGTTGTTTGAAGAAACCCTGAGCCCCAAACCCCGAAAAGGGAAAGCAATTTCCCTGAGGCTTGAGCCCGAAGCCTAAACGCCCTTCAAAGGGAGTTCAACCCTAAACTCTCTACCCTGATTTCCTAGTCAAAGAGACCTTAAGCCGAAACCCTGAGCCGTAAACCCAATCGCTCAAGAGAGCCCGCCAGGAGGGTTTAGGGTTTAGGGTTGAGGGTTGTTACAATTGTTTCGCAACACTTCTTGACCCTAGTTCTTAGAACCCTAGACCCTAAAGACTTCTAGATGACGTTTGGGGAATCTAGAAGGCCCGATGAGCCCCGTAGCCCTAGCTGAGGTGCAGCTGTGCCAGGAGAGGTTGGAAAGGCTGGTGCGCATCGATGAGGCGCGTGGTCCAGATGGGTAGTTGTCAAAATTATGGTCCCTGTTTGGGTCCGTAATATAATACGGTTAGGGTACCCAAAAAAGGACCCTAAAATGGACAACCACCCAGATCGGTGCCAGGCCCCGAGAAGGTCTAGGGCTTCGGCTTCAGGGGCCCCAGAGGCCCCAGAGTTTTAGCGGGTTTGGGCTGTATCGTCTAAGGCGCAGGGTCTAGGGTTTAGGGGCTACGAAAAGGGTGTTATACGGTTCGTTTTGGGCTTGATTCGGGCTTTATGGTCTACATTGAACCCCTAAACCCTAAACCCCAAACCCTAAAGTTCATTGGTCTACCATACAGCTTTTATTGGTTGTGAGAATGACGTTCTCAGGGTTTTCGGGTTTGATGCTCTGCCTGAGGGTTTGTGGTCTAGTTAAATTTTGCTGAAGGGTGCATGGTCTGTTTTGGGGCTTGGGCTTAGGGTTCAGGGGTTAGGGTTTAGGAGTTTAGAGTGGCAGAGCTCGGGTTCCAAGTTTTTCGACCTTGCGTCGGGGTTCCTGACAGGCTGTTGGTAAGGGCTTAAGGTCTTTAAACCCCTAAACCCTAAACCGGAAAACCCCTAAACCCCCAAACCTCATCGGGGCAACAGGAGCCCTAAACCCTAAACCGTACTTTCTGGTGCCTCCTAGTTCACTGGTCCGGCAGCTCTGTTCTGGATCGGGCGCTTCGGGAGGCTTCCAGGGCGGTGCCAGTCGCGAGGATGCTACTATACCTTAACCTACCAAAACCTACTTTTTGGTAGGGTCCCTATAAATTCCATATTAGGGTTTATAATAAGAACCTACAAAAATCTGGGTTTTGGTAGGTTAAGGTAGGAACTTAAACAAGTACCTAGACTATTTTTGGGGGGCCCCTTATTATAATTATCGTAGAACATGCCCAAAACCCTATTGTAATTATTAAGGCCCCTACAGTACACTTTGCACAAAGCTCCGACCATCTTTTATTTGAACCCCGCGGCGTGTCGCGAGATGTTTGGAGACAGCAACCGGGTTTGGAATAAGCAGCTGGCCGACAGCCGATTTCATGGGCGTTTCCTAATCCCACTGTTCAGGATCTAGTATAGGGGTCTGAAGAGTGATGATTTCCCTGGACAGTGTCGAGATGCGGTAGAACCGTAAAACCTTATGCTAGCAATTTAGGCCTTTTGTTGCTTCGATCCTTAGTTGCTGTCGTTGTTGTTCGATAGCTTTCGTCATATTATCACGGGGCCCTAGCCATAAAATGAGTATACATGGGTCATCAGACACCCACATTCCCAACAACATTGGCCTGTCTCTGTAGGATCAGAGGCTGAGGATTCAAGGTAGGGGTGTAATCATGACAGGACAGGTGTGCTCAACAGGTTGAATTGCATTCTTCGGGCTGACGTCAACCCTAAACCCTAAACCCCTAAACCCTAAACTCTGGGTGTCGGGAAGCCTGTCCTGGAAGTCGACCGTAAACCCTAAACCCTAAACCCTAAACCCCAAGCCTGTCCATGTAGACTCAGACCCCTAGGTTCGGCGCAGCCCACCTCACAAAAAATCCCGAAATCAAGCTAAACCAACGTTAAACCCCAAGTCCAGAAACCTTTGTCAACAATGCAGGCGAATGATTGCTGGCATGATTCCGCGCAATCCCACTAAATAGCCGCTCAACTACAAGGCTATATGAGGGTTCGGGGTGTAGCCAAGCTGGGTTTGTGCTCTTGATACACGGGTCGGAACATTTACCCATAATCTTCCCTTATGGTCTCTACATGCAGTCATAGTTACTATAGGAAACCCCCTAAACCCTAAACCCTAAACCCCTAAACCCTAAATACCCCAGACTTTCTCGACTTGCGACAGGAGCGCTATGCCATGGCCCTGGGCTTCAGCGAGGAGCGTTTTCGCGAGCTGCGCAAGGCCATTGGTGGACTCGAGCCCCGAGGGTCCAAGTGCCCATTATTTGTTTAGGGTTTAGGGTTTAGGGTTTTAAAGACTTTGGGGCCTTTTTTGGGGGGTACTTAAAACCATAAATAAGGACTACTTGGACCCTTAGGGTAGGGCTTTTGTGGAAGAGGTTGGGGTTTATGGGGTTCACGGTTTGGGCTTCTAGGGTTTAGATGTTTAGGGTTTAGGGTTCCGGGTTTGGGTTTGGGGGATTTCAGGGCTTGCCCTAAACCCTGAACGCTTCAACCCTAGGCCGCTTTCGGGTTTGAGTTCAGCGGTCTGAGGTCATTTAGGGATTAAGGTTGAGGGTTTAGGGTTCAGGGTTTAGGGTTTAGGGTTCGGGGTTCAGGGTTTAGGGTTCAGGTGGTTTAGGGTTGCGAGTTTAGGGTTCAGGGTTTAGGGTTCAGGGTTTAGGGTTTGGGGTTCAGGGTTCAGGGTTTGGGGTTCCGGGTTCCGGGTTTAGGGTTTAGGGTTCGTTCGTTTCTGCAAGGACTCAGGAGCCTGCACTGTGCGGCCCCACTGTTTCGAACAAAAAATGTCTGGTGCTTAGTAGGGAATGTGGGAATGGATCCCTATGATAGTCCCTTAAGGTCCCTTATAGTAGTCCCTATAACCCATTCCCCCATTCCCTACTAAGCACCAGACAGAAAATGCCCAATGACCCCAAGTGCCATTCAACAACTACCCGTACCAGTCGGTGCGTTGGCAAAAACAGAGGGGAGCTGTGGGGTCTATGACGTACACCTCGAAGACTGGCGATGCGGCTAACTATCCAGGGACTCTTGCTATGTTTTAGGGTTTAGGGTTTAGGGTTTAGGGTTGATATGTTTTCAGGTACGACGCAAAGTTAAGAGGCTCATTGGGCTCTCTGAGAATGCCACCCCATGCCCTTCGTATGAAGCCATATTCCCTCACAGGTCTTCTTGGACCACAAGAACGAAGCCTGCGTGACCGGCTCAGAGAGGGACCATGTCGTGGCTGAGTGACGAGATCCTCGAAATTGCAGGATTCGACAAGGGTCTTTGGGGTCTTCGAGCGTACCTGACTTCTGAAGAACCTACAATTTTAGGGCTCCTTATTGTGATTTCCTTATAAAAGTCTCTAAAAAGGGTAGGTTATTTGGGGTTAAGGTAACGGCTGGAGAGTTTCAGGGCTGGGGGTTTGGATTTGGAGTTTTGGGCCTCGGATGTCATTGGGTCCAGATCAACCAAGCATTCATCGGCTCAGGTGGTTTAGGGCTGTGGAGAGGGGGATCCCGGGTTTTATCTGGCAGCCGCTTATGTTCGGGACAATATAGGAGCCTGAATAATTAGAGTACTTCCCTTGCAGTCCTTTTTTTAATAGAGCTATACATGTGTGTATATATATATATAGATGTACATATACATATATATATATACACATACACATACATATGGAATTGTATCCACCAGGCCTGTCTATTTTTTCCTAAGATCCCTCGTGACCTACAACTCCTGTTTGGGCATAGGTTCGCCTTGCGATACCCCTACGCCGCCAAGGGGACGTCCACCTGAAGTTCAGGGGTTCTCGGCACCTAGCGTGGATCCTGGCTTTCGGTCATGAACTCCGTCACCCTAAGGGTGCATCTGCTCATGTAGCGCAAGCTCTAGCACTCAGGTTCTCATATAGACCCTAAGCCCTCAACCCTAAACCCTAAACCCTAAGCCCTAAACCTTATAGGGATTACTTTAACGGCATGTCACATATGATCAGAGTACATGGGCCCCTTGGGTTCGTGAATCCTGTAGCCTGAACGACCATAGCCTAACGAAGGACAACTGGGCTTCGGAGTACCATACTTTAATACTTTTTTCGGGGGACCTGTTCCTTACAGGAGCCATTATGCAATAAAAGTCTATACTTTCTTCTCCCTGGTTACTTCAATTCAAAGCCCAGACAAGCAGTCATGGTCAAAAAACACAGGTGCTGCACATCAAGGAGCTGAGAAGCGTCATGAATGCGCTGCAGAGACCGCGCCCTGCAAGAGTACTTAAGGCTTAGGCTCCGGGTTGTGAGGGCGAAGAGGGATGCATTCCGAGGAGCAAACAGGCACGCCTGCGAAGAAAGCTTAACAACGCCGTGCAACAAAAACACATATGTAGTGCCATAGGACCCGTAGGAGCCCTGAAGGATTCCTATAAAAATTGCCCTGTTCAGGCCTTTATAGCTTGAGCTATATTCCTTACGTCCCTCAAAAAGTCTTATTCTGAACCCACTTGCAAGCTCAGACGTGGTTCGGGGGAGGGGGCCGGTCAAGGGTTGGATTTGGGGCAGGCTTTAGAGGGAGTTATAGGCTTTTTGAATGGGGTCCCGACAGGGCTTTATGAAAGGTTCTGTCAGGCTTTGATAAGGCTTCTTTAGGGCTCAGGGGCTTAGGTTTCGGGTTGAGGTGGAACAGTAGAGCCACAGGCCCTTGTATTTAGCACGCTGAGCCCCAACCAGACATATCGCCTTGTGTTGGATCATTAGGGGTTTAGGCTTTGACGGTTTAGGATTTAAGGGGTTAAGGGTTTAGGGTTAAGGGTGAACCACCCTAAACCCGAAACCGTAAGCAGACGCCCGAAAACTGCAGCTCTATATAGATCCCCAAACCGAAGGTTCTGGATGACGCGGACTTCACTTCAGCACACTTCAAGACAATGTTAAACCCTTCTTCCTCTTTCTTCTCAAGCTTCCCAAGCATCAGAGATTATAGTGTAAGTATATGGGGACTGCCATGAGGTCTTCTTAGTGCCGTTTTGTTCAGACCTCTCGTCGATATTTCCCCACATCCTGAACGCCCCATACACCAAACCTGAGACCCTCCCCACCAGCCCTTCTACAGCAAGGCCAGGGCGTGTTTGTCAGAGGCGCGCGGAGCCCTCCACCAGCACAGAACCCCTACCTGGCTCCCTATTATGATTTCTTTATACAAGTCCTGTCAACGGTAGGTTCTTTAGAGATCTACCTAAACCCTAAACCCTAAACCCTAAACCGTTCAGGAACCCGTCAAAAAACCGGGAAGCTGCAGGTACTCCTCAGAAGAGCTGCTGCGGCTCTTCCAAGCCTTCTCGACTTCGGAAGGTGGTGTCGGGTTTTCTTTTATGGGCGAATATAGCGATGTATGGTTTAGGGATTTTGCGTCTGGGTTTAGGGTGTGTGGCCGGGAGTCGGGGGTTTTCTGTGCAGCGTTTGGAGCTTGAGCTTTGTTAGGTTCACTGTTGGGCCTCAGCAGTTCGGTTTCGAGTTTAGCTTCGTTTGGGGGGTTTCGGGTTTCGGGTTTAGGTTATTTTTTTGGGGGGGAGTCTCATTTATAAGGGTTCCTTTGAAAGGGCTGCGGTTAGCGTAAGGGAAAAAATAGGGCTTTAGATGGTTTCGGGTTTTGGCATGGGGGCCCCAATAATCGAAACAGGGATTGAAACAGGGTTTTGCGGGGTATACGACAATATACTCAAATGCGGACTAAGGGGACTACTACGTCTAGCC